TCGTGCTGATAACGTCTTGTAAACTTGAGCTTTTATATATTAAATAGGTTAGATTATGTATATTTATATATGTGTATGTATATATATTATATATTTCTTTAATGGAAAAAAGAAAAGCCAGAGAAGGGGAGCAAAGAATCAAGCTTCTTTCACTTATTATTATTGATGTACACCACAACTTCAAAACACAGCAACTATTTATATACAGAGGAAGTGGTAGGTAAATACAATGTCGGTAACAAATATGTTACCTACTTCTTCGTATCATCTAAGTAATAATATTATATTTGTGTGGATGATTAATTTCCAACAAAAATTATATAGTGCATGTACAAAAAAAGTTGCCCTAAAAAAATGGGAGAAGAAAATAAATAAAAAAATTACGAATGAATTTTAATAGTCATAAATACGAATTTATATGATATGAACAACTAAGAATCGAACCGAAAAAATTTTATAACCAACAACAACAATAGCCTCTGATTGCTTGACAATATTTTGGTGATTTTGGAGGTTTGAAATCAAATTTACCTAAATATTTTTATTCTTAATTTTTATTTAAGTTTTACTGTATTTATATAATTTTATATGTAATAGCTAAATTTATAATGATATATTTGAAATATTTATGAGATATATAATTATATTGAATAAAATGTAAAAGCAAAGAAATTTGGTTAATTATTTATGAGAAATATAATTTTTTTTTGATGTTTAAGAAATATAAATTATAAAGATGAAAATGAAATTCAAAAAGTTTTTTAAGATTTTTAATAGTAAAACTTCAATATTTTGAGGGTCATGCTCTTAAACAAATCGTAAAAGCTTGTTTGAAGAAGAAAAAGAAAGAGACAAAGGTACGGCTGTCACAGATATTTTCATAATTTTGAGGTTTTAAATAGTAAAATTTCAAAATATTGATTCCATCTCTGCAGCTTGTGCCGCTGTCACAGATACTTTCACAGCCAACATTTCTGTAATTAATGCAGAGGAGACAAAGGTACAGAAAGCCACACGTCGGCTTCTGATAAATTCATCCTGATGAGGACATTAACCAGACTAAGCCCAAACCGATATACCCAAGATGAGGAAGACTCCAATGACGCACTCTAGAACTAGGAAATTTAATGGGAAGTTTAGTATGGCAGGTGAGACACTTCGTAACTCCATGGAATCAGAAGAAACCAGTCATAACTTGCATAACTTAAAGATTTTCAAGAAAGCTCATACGGATCTGAAAACGACCAAACAAAGGACATTGCAAGTTTAAATCTCAAACAAGCTTCTAACTGATATAAGATTTAAGGGAAGTATTTGTTTATGGTCAGTTTGTGCCCATGATTTGACAGCATACCAAACTGGTTTGATTAAACCAACAGTTATGAGAAATTGGTTTTTATAACTTCCATATATGAAGAGTTGTAACTCTTAGATTGTGACTCTTCAGATTGTGTCTTTTCAATATGTATATATATGGGACATTACAGAGAGAATTATGAGTCTGTTTACAACAGTTTGTGACTGTTGGTAAACAAAGAAGTTACAAAGGAGAGAGAAAACATTTTAGAGAGAGAAAGCTTGGAGAGATCAATTGAAAGGGCATTTGAACGGTGATAAGTGGTTGATTTCCATCTGTGATCTCTTCTCCGATCTCTGCGTTCGTTTTCAGATCATACCAAGTCATATTCATCGCTAAACCAGGCAAATATATGTGTTAGGTTAAAACCTTTCCGCATAAAACTCTTACATTGGTATCAGAACATTAGGATTCGGTTCTGGAATGAACATGTTCATAGTAATCATGAATTGAAACCGCTATTGTTAGTCACGTTCATTCATGATGAATTGAAAAAATGGTTAATGCTTAAATGATTGAAAATGGTGAATTCGTGAATATATGATTAATTGAATTAAAACTTTGCATAGATGTTCATAATATAGGCTTGAATGATTCTGGAAAATATCATTTTCAGAACCGCAATAGATTGCATGAATTCGGAAAAACAGTGAGAAAACCGGAAATATTGTTTCGTCCATATCTCTTAGTTTATAATTCTGAATTACGTGATTTTAGTTTCCGTGTGTAGGTATTAAAATTATCTTTTGAGTGATATATAGAACGCATGATTTGGTTACGTATTTAGAGAGAGATATTAGGATTGCAATTTTTTGGATATTTCTGGTTTTAAACATGTCTTTTAAGAAGACGATGAACATTTACCCGCAATTTTTTTTTTTGATTTGTCAGAATAAATTAGATTATTTAAAAAAAAAATGTTTTATTTGTTAATTCATGTTTAAAATACATTGATTAAGTGGGAGTTTTAATTTGTTTAGAACTTAAACTTTTGCATGGAGCAAATTAATTTATAATAATAAATTTTTGATAAGAGTGATGATTGGAAACATATTGAACTCTCGATCTAAATCAAAATTGAGTTATTTTGGATTAGTTTGTGTTCATGGCAAAATTATATGTTATATGTTAAGAGTATGCAAAGAAAGTAATGTCTCTAGATGTTCAAGCAGGTATGTCATCTGCTTGTAAGAACATCATTGCTGAGCTCAACCGAGAAGACATTGGATGGTGACAATTACGATATTTGGTATCGGAAAGTCCAGTATGTCCTCGAGGAGCAAGAGGTTAAGGAGACTCTTTTCCATCACATGGAAGAGCCTGAGCAGGGTACTACGGCTCAACATGAGAAAGATCACGAGGCATATGTTGTCTGGAAAAGAAAGAATAGCATCGCTTGCATCACATTGTTGAGTTGTATGCAAGATGATCTCATGTGTAAGTTTGAAGAGTATGGAACTGCGAAAGGCATGTGGGAGGCCTTGAAAGATAAGTTTGGTGCCACATCGGCTACCAAACTTAGGAGACTTAATCAAAGGTTTGATGATTATAAGAAGCGTCCAAATCAGTCGATGAGGCAACATCTTAGAATCATGTCAAACATGATTAGAGAGCTCAAAAATGCTGGTCAGATTATGTCTAATGAACAGCAAGTCCAAGCGGTTCTCCGCTCGTTGCCTGAAAGTTGGGACCATATGAAGGTTCAGATGACTTACAATGAAAACGTGAAAACATTTGAAGATATATCACATCATCATGAGTTAGAGGATGAGCGCTTAGAGGCTTCTAAATCCTCTGCAAGTTCAAACTCAGGTTTGAAACACAAGAAAGGTAACATCGGACACAAGGCTCCCTACCATTCTGAACTTAAGAGACAAAAGAAAGATGCCAAGCGTGACAAGCGTGGAGGCCAGAAGGATAAAACCAAAATGAAGTGCTACAACTGTAGCTCATTGGGTCACTTTGCTCATGAATTCACTGAGGCAAAGAAGGTATTATCCTTGAACTCCAGTTGCAAATATGCTTATGTTTCTAGGTTTGTAAGGCTTACAGAATCTCATTCTTCGTGGATTGTAGACTCAGGAGCAACATACCACATAGCTAGAAGTCGAGAAGCATTTGTAGAGTACCGACGGGTGCCTAAAGGTTCAAGATGGTTGTATGTGGGAAAATCTCATATTACATGATGTCTTGTATGCTCCTGAAATCCGTCGGGACTTAGTCTCTGTTTTAGCTCTACTTAAGTTAAGATTTGGTTTGAACTTCCATGACATGTGTTTGCACATTTCTCTAGGGTCTGTGTCCTTTGGCTCTGGTTATGCTTGTAATGGTTTTATTGTACTTGATTGTACTACAAATGTTACTACTAGAAGTAATGTTGATAATTGTTTTTCATATGTCCTGATAATGTTGAAATGAATGTGTGGTATTCTAGACTTGGTCACATTAGATAGATTGGCTACAGAAGGTCTTCTAGGCTCATTAGCCCGAGTTGATCTTGACACATGTGAACCATGTTTGGCTGGAAAAACAATAAGAAAAACATTTGGAAAAGAAACTAGAGCTGAATTTCCATTGCAATTAGTTCATTCAGACAACTGTGGTCAGATGAATGTGAGGGTGAGGCATGGAGCTTCATATTTCATCACTTTTATAGATGATTTCACTCGATTTGCATATGTGTGTTGGGGTCGGTTTTCACCCCAAGTAGATAAACCACCTCAGAATGGCTAAGTATGGAAGAAGGATAAGTGGGAGAGCCGTGGTCGCCAAGTGGGAGAGCCGTGGTCGCCAAGTAGGAGAGCCGTTCTCACCATGACAAGTGGAGAGCCGTTCTCACCAAGGCAAATGGGAGAGCCGTGCAGATAGGCCAGTAGGGAGAGCCGTGAAAGAAGACAGGTAGACCGAGCCGCATCGAAAGAAATGGGCCGAGCCCCACTTCAACACGTTTGGGCCGAGCCGTGTATCGGTGCGGTGGGCTAGATCATGTCTCCATGGCAAGTGGGCCGAGCCGTGAAGAAGGCTAGATGGGCCGAGCCGTAAAGAAGCTTGGACGGGCCGAACCAAAGCCTTGGGAGATGAAGCCCGTGGAAAACCCTAGGCAAGATGCAAAGGCGGTCAGCCGCACGAGGCGATAAGGAAATATTCCGAAAATCTCGCCCGAGATTTTCGGCTAGGCGGTTTAGAAAGTTAGTATAAATATATGATGTATGCAATTCCTTCCGCCAATTTTTGGTAACCCTAAGCAATAAGAGCAAAACACCTTCACAGCAATAAAAATCTTCTTTTGATCTTACTGTTCTTGCGATTACCTTAGAAGTTTCAGATCCCTAAGTTTCTCTTCACAAATTCTTGATTGTGCAAGTTTTGGCTCGCACAATTTGGCGCCGTCTGTGGGGAATCGAAACTTTCTTACTCTAAATCGACAAGACTTTAAGATCCGAAGAACATGGCAAACAACACAACCGACGACAACAACAACAACAACACCGGTAACGGCGCGGAAAAGGACGCTCCGGCATCGGGCACAACGACGGTGACGACTGAAACCCAAGAGGAGATGCGATACATGATGGCTGCATTGATGAAGAAAATTGACGACCAAGACAAAAGAAACGAGGCGATTACAGCGAGGCTCAACGCGATGGCGGCTGAGCGACAACACTCGACTTGGAGAGCCGGAATCTCCGACCCGATGGATGGAATTCGGAGACGCTTCGATTTCTCGACACCCGCAGAAGCCTCAGGGAGTGGTGCAAGAAATTCCTCGGTTCTTCGTCCCCTCGACGAACGTACTCCCGCAGCAACCCGAATCAACATGACCGAGCCGCCTCCACTACGCTGGAACTCCAGGCGACGAGCCGGTGAGGAAGAGGACGATTGGATTGACGTAGACACCCAGCAGAACGACGAAACCACGAATCCTCAACAAACTGGCTCGGCTCGCCGAATTAGTCGAGAAGAACTCGCCTCGGCACTAAACGGCATCCGGACTGACAAAATCTCCGATCCGACCCGCGGCGATAATCCAACCGAGGTGGAAGAAAACATCCAATGGATCGAGCAGGCAGAAAGCGAAGATGAGCCGAGACGAGAGGAGCGAGAGCGACCCCCCCAATCAAAGGGAATGACTCACGCACAAACTCTCGAGCTCAAAGAGCTGCGAGCCTCGATGGCTCGGACAGTGGCTGAAATACGCGCCATGAAATCTCAAGTGCACAACGCGACGAGCGCCGCGCTCGAAATCGACCGAATGCTTGAAGAAACTCAAAGAATCCCGTTCACTGCAAGAATCACGGAGGCCAGGATTCCCGAACCGGGGAAGGTGAGAATCCCGTTCTACGAAGGAACAACCGACCCGAAAGCACACATCACCGCATTTCGGATAGAAATGGGACGAGCCTTCACAAAGAACGCCGCTAAACTCACCGAGCGCGAAGTGGATGCCGGATACTACCTGCTCTTCGTGAAACATCTCAAAGGACCCTCGCTCGAATGGTTTTCGAGGCAGGAGCGCAATTCGATCGGCGGTTTTCAACAGCTCTCCGCTTTGTTCCTCAAACAATACTCGATGTTTATGGACAAAGGAACGTCTGATGCCGACCTGTGGACACTATCCCAAGGACCGAACGAGCCGCTTCGAGATTACATGGCAAGGTTCAAGACAGTCGTATCCAAAATAGAAGGGATAAGCGACAAGGCTGCGCTCGAGGCTCTGAAACGATCTTTGTGGTACAAGTCTGAGTTCCGACGGGAGATGGCTCTCAACACGCCGCAAACAATTCAAGACGCTAGCTTTGCACCGATCATCAGACTTCGTCGTGAACGAAGAGGAGATGAAAAGCTTAGACGAGCAGTATGAAGCAACGAAAGCAGCAATCCGAAGCTCAATTTTGCCGCGCCCCACGAAGAAGGGCAACCCATCAAACAATACAACAACTTCAAGCTCGGATGAACCTAGAAGCGGAGGAGCCCATAACTACCAGGTGGGCGTCGGACGCGGAAGAGGAGAGCCGCGCAACAACACTTGGGTGAGAAAGTCCGCCAACTACGACGAGAAGGCTTTCTGCGAGTATCACCAGACCTACGGGCATCCAACGGCTCAATGCCGAATTTTAGGAGCAAAGCTCTCAGCAAAGATGGCAGCGAGAGAGCTCCAAAACGCGGTCAGCATCAAAGACCTCGTCCCTAACGAACAACAAGAGAGAGCCGAGCCGAGCGGCGCGGAACCCGCGAATCCTCCCCGACGAGGCGATAACCCCAAGCGTGACAGGAGAGGGGAACCTGAAGAGCGACCCGAGCCGAGGCAGAGGATCAATATGATCATGGGTGGATCCCAATACTACCAAGATACCGTATCCTCCATCAAAGCCTATCAGCACCGAGCCGAAGCGAAGGAGAATTGGACAGAACCAACCGACATCCCAAACACAGTGATCTCCTTCGCCGAGGAGGAAACGGCAGGAATCGATCGACCTCATAACGATCCGTTGGTGATTGAGTTAACGATCAGGGATCATGACGTAGCAAGGGTGCTCATCGATACTGCAAGCTCGGTGAACGTCATCTTCAAGGAAACACTCAGAAGAATGGGAATCGACCTCTCCGAGGTCGAAGCAATCCCCAAACCTCTAACCGGATTTTCAGGAGAAACGACGATGACTATGGGAACGATTAGGCTTCCTGTGGTAGCTGGCGGAGTCACTAAGATCATCGAATTCTGCGTCACCGATCACCCAGCAATATACAATGTGATCATGGGAACTCCATGGATCAACGGGATGAGGGCGGTACCCTCTACCTATCATCTCTGCCTCAAATTCCCAACCCCAGCAGGTGTTAAAACGATCTGGGGGAGTCAGAAGGAGTCACGAATGTGTTGCCTAGCCGAGCATAAGCTAAGGAACCCCGTCACCGACGCACGAGCAGACATCGACCGCAAAAAGATGAAGACAGACCGAGAGCCCGCGAACAAGCTCTCGAAACTCTTATAGCAATTACAGATCGCGGAGAGCTGCGAAACACGCGCCGAGCCAGTATGCGACGCAGTGGACTCGGTATGTATAGATGAGGCGCGCCCGGAGCGATGCGTCGAAATAGGAACAAAACTGGAAGAGCCTCTGAGAAGCGAACTCCTTTCCCTCCTCAAGGAAAACATCAACACTTTCGCCTGGACAGCAGAAGATATGCCAGGTATAAGCATCGGCCCCAAACGAGCTTAAGAAGGAAGCTCGGCCCCGAACGAGCTAAAGCAGTTAACGACAAAGTCGAAAGGTTACTCAAAGTAGGATCAATCGCCGAGGCCAAATATCCGGACTGGCTCGCAAATCTGGTGGTCGTGAAGAAGAAGAACGGCAAGTGGCGAGTATGTGTGGATTTTACCGACCTCAACAAGGCGTGCCCAAAAGACAGCTTTCCCTTGCCACACATAGACCGGTTCGTCGAAGCCACTACAGGGAATAGATTGTTAACATTTATGGACGCGTTCTCCGGCTACAATCAGATCCTGATGCATCCTGATGATCGGGAAAAAACGGCATTCATAACTGATCGCGGGATATACTGCTACAAAGTCATGCCGTTCAGGCTCAAGAACGCAGGAGCAACGTATCAACGGCTCGTCAATAAAATGTTTGCGGCTCAGCTCGGAAAAACCATGGAAGTGTACATCGACGACATGTTAGTTAAATCACTTAAAGAGGAAGACCACGTCGCGCATCTACGAGAATGCTTCGAACAATTGAACAAGCACGACATGAAACTAAACCCGGCGAAGTGCAGGTTTGCGGTCACCTCGGGAGAATTCCTCGGCTATCTGGTAACTCACCGAGGCATAGAAGCAAACCCCAAGCAAATCAAGGCGCTAATTGAGATGCCCTCTCCAAGGACGAAGCGCGAAGTGCAAAGGCTCACAGGTAGAGTGCCTGCCCTTCTACGACACCCTCCGAGGAAACAAGAAATTGGAGTGGGACGAACGGTGCGAGACGGCTTTCCAGGAATTGAAGAGTTATCTGGCGAGCCCACCAATCTTAGCAAAACCAGTCGAAGGAGAGCCGCTCTTCCTCTACATCGCAGTGTCTGCTACAGCTGTAAGTGGAGTGCTTATCAGAGAAGAACGGTCCGAGCAAAAACCCATTTTCTACATCAGCCAGACACTGACCGATGCCGAGACTCGCTACCCCCAGATCGAGAAGGTCGCCATAGCTGTCGTAGTCTCGGCTCGCAAACTGCGCCTGTACTTTCAATCACATTCGATTTTTGTGCTCGCTACGCTTCCGCTACGCTCGATCCTACACAGCCCTAGCCAATCCGGTCGGCTCGCCAAGTGGGCGATAGAGCTAAGCGAATACGACATCGAGTATCGGAATAGGTCGTCTGCAAAGTCACAGGTGCTCGCAGAGTTCCTCATTGAACTTCCCGCCGAAGCAACGAACTTGCCGAATCTAGATGAAGTGTGGACGCTGCACGTCGACGGCTCGTCGTCTAAACACGGCTCGGGAATAGGAATCCGCCTCACCTCTCCCACCGGAGAAATATTGGAGCAGTCTTTTCGCCTGAACTTCCACGCCTCGAACAACGAAGCGTAATACGAAGCACTGATCGCCGGCATACGACTAGCGCAGGGAATCGGAGTTCGAAAGATTAGAACCTTTTGTGACTCACAGCTCGTAGCATGCCAATTCAACGGAGAATACGAGGCGAAGGATGGACGAATGGGAGCTTACCTCATAGTGGTCCGAGAGTTGGTACAAAAGTTTTATGAGTTCGAACTCACGCGCATTCTCCGAGGAGAAAACACCTCGGCCGACGCCTTGGCAGCACTCGCCTCGACCTCGGACCCAGACCTCTGACGAACAATCCCAGTTGAATTCATCGAACGTCCTAGCATTGAAGAGGTGGAAGGAGTTCGGTTGATAAATCCTCCCGAACAAGAACCAGTGGACGACGAAGCCATTCCTAGGGACGAAGACCCTCAACCGGCCGAGCCAGAGTACGGCTGCGACAAAGAATGGCTCGGAGCTATCCGAGTGTATATCGCCGACGGAGAGTTGCCAATCGACAAATGGGAAGCCCGCAAACTAAAAGCTCAGGCCGCACGATATGTCCTCGTCGATGGCGAGGTGTTTAAATGGAGATTTTCAGGGCCTCTCATGACATGCGTCGAAGGACCGGAGGCAAGAAAGATCATGCACAAGGTGCACAGCGGCGCGTGCGGGAACCACTCCAGCGGAAGGTCTCTCGCTATCAAGATAAAACGGCACGGCTATTTCTGGCCCACGATAATCAAGGACTGCGAGAAATTTACGGCGAAGTGCGAGAAATGTCAGCGGCACGCTCCAACAATTCATCAACCTACCGAGTTGCTCTCGTCAATTTCGAACCCTTATCCGTTCATGAGATGGTCTATGGACATCGTCGGACCTCTACATCGCTCGAAGCAGAAGCGTTTTCTGCTCGTCCTCACGGATTACTTCTCCAAGTGGGTCGAGGCCGACTCTTACGCAAGCATAAAAGATGTTCAAGTCGAACACTTCGTCTGGAAAAATATCATCTGCCGCCACGGGGTCCCTTACGAGATAGTCACCGACAACGGATCCCAGTTCATCTCAACACGCTTCGAAGCTTTCTGCGAAAAGTGGAAAATCCGCCTCAGCAAATCTACGCCAAGATACCCTCAAGGGAACGGACAAGCCGAAGCAGCCAATAAGACGATCCTCGACAGTCTGAAAAAGAGGCTCGACGCCAAGAAGGGACGGTGGGCAGACGAACTCGAAGGAGTCCTTTGGTCTCATCGGACAACTCCGCGCCGAGCCACCGGGGAAACTCCATTTGCTTTGGTCTACGGATCGGAGTGCGTAATTCCCCCCGAAGTGGATTTCCCAGGTATCCGACGAAGACTTCTACCAGGACAGGAGGGCTTGAACCACTTAATGATGCTAGATGAGCTCGACCTAATCAACGAGAAACGCGATCAAGCCTTAATTCGAATCCAGAACTATCAACAAGCGACGGCGAGATACTACAACAAAAACGTTCGAAGTCGAAGATTCAAAACAGGGGAGCTCGTCCTCCGAAAGGTCTTCCAAAACACTGCCGAGAAGAACGCAGGAAAGCTCGGAGCAAATTGGGAAGGTCCTTACAAGGTCACAAAAGTGGTTCGTCCAGGAGTCTACGAACTCGCGACACTAGCTGACGAGGCGATTCCAAGATCGTGGAACGCAATGCATCTGAAAAAATACCATCACTAAGAATGCAGCACGACCAGCATGAACTACGGGACGGCTTGATCCCTGCAAAGGGTACGTAGGCATCCCGTCTTCGGACGGGTTCAGCTTGTTACGTATACACATACCTCCTTTAACTCTACTATTTTGACTTGCTCACTTAGGAACGTCGCCACTTCGGCATATTCTCAGTTCGTTTTTAATTATCTACTTATTTCACTTTTACCCTTGATTTCTGGTTCGTTTATTATCGCTTCGGCTAGCTTCACATTGTAACAAGCTCGGATTTTCGAATTCTTTAACTCACCACTTCGGCATGATATCATGACCTGATTACCTCGGACCTTTAACGGTCCTCAATTTCAGTTCAGCAAACTAAGCCTTCGAACGCCTCGTCTCGTTGCTGGCCACAATTTTTCGTAAACATTTTTACGGATTAATGGACAAGTAAGTCCGAAAACGGCTAAGGAAAATATATTCATTAAGCGAAAATAAAGAGTCGGGTGGATAAAGCCGTCCAGGCACAGAACACATAAAAGTTCAAAAGAGAGCGGATAAAATCCTAAGTACAGAAGCAAGCAAGAAAAATTTGTGAGCCAAAACTCATGCTGCGGACTGCGTTTCACGATCGGCGAGAAGGTTCGAGGGAATCGGCGTACCCGCGTTCGAGCCATTCGGGTCCACAACGCCTAAATTGGCCGCTGTTTCTTCGAGCGGCTCGTTGCCGAGGGTGGTGTCGACCGAGTCCGGCGATACGGGAGAATAATACAGTTCGCCCCGAATCTCGGAAGCAATACGCTCGTACGCATCGTCGTCGGCATACTCACTCTCCCAGCTTTTCCGCTTCGCCTCCTCGTCGTCAAGCGTCGGGGCGTCCGGCTTCTTCAGGTCAGCAATCATCGCAAGATTGCCCTTGATCTTTCCCAGATTGTTCTTCATCATTTTTGGCCTTCTCGAGCTTGACCAAACCCTCCTCCACCTTGGCAAGGCGTTCCTGAAACTTCGCCGTCAGCTCGCGCCTCGCCTCCTTCTTCGCGCGTTTGACCTTGGCTTCGAACAGCGCGTCCTTGGCCTCGATACGCCTTTTAAGCAACGCCACCTCGGCGCTTTTGGCTCTCCTTGCTTCCTCCAGGCGAATCACCGAGGCGGAAACTTTGTTAACGTCTGCTCGGAGAACTATCTTCTCCTCTTCCAACCTCGACACTCAGGTCATCGCCTCGGTGAGTTTCCCCTTCGCTGCCGCAGCTTTGTTTTGCGCCTCTTCCAGCTTCACCTTTGACGCCGCGGTCTCATTCCGGGCCTCGTCCAAGCGACGTTCGACCTTAGACAGGTCCGCCTCATACTCGGCCATCAGGTCGTTAATAGCCGCGACAAACTGCAAAGAACAAACTCGCGTTAAACACTTAGCAAAAAGTTTACGAAAATAAAGAAAAGCGAATAGAAACGTACCTTGGTACCACGCTGCGCCATCGCGCCGTATGACCTCGGCCTCCTCAGCTTCTCCGGAGGAGGAAGACGCGCGTTCGCGTTATTAACACGCGAGAACATGACAGCAGAAGCGTCGGGGTCGTCAACAACCAATTTACGCGCGGCGGGGTCCCCGGGCGTCGGTTTCCGCCTCTTCTTCGATGACTCGTCCTTCTGGACGGCGACGCCTTTCCTCTTGTCAGTAGCCAAACGTTTTTGGCTAAAGTCATGCTTCTGGACGACCGAAGTCGGTGGCCTTGTCGACTTTGGGAGGGCCAGGATGGCGGATTGCGAAGGAGTCT